ATTTCCTTTTCCCTCCCATTCTGGAATACCCATTATTCGGATATTTGAGCACTTAAGGTTGTCAGTTTTCTCTCTCAGATTTTCTTCAACTTTTTGATTCTTTTTTTTTTTTTCCTTGTCTGCCTGTGTTAATTCAAACAGCCTGTCTTCAAGGTCAGAAATTCTCTCTTCTGCTTGTTCAAGTCTGCTGGTTAAACTCTCTGTTGTGTTTTTTTATTTCGTTGAATGAATCCTTCAGCTCCACAAGCTCAGCTACATTCTTTTTCAAAGCTTTGATTTCTTTGTACATTTCTTTTCTCAGATCCTGTATATTTTTTCTCATTTCATTGTGTTGTCAACTGAGTTTTCTTGTATCTCATTTTGTTTCCTTAGAATTGTTACTCTAAATTCCTTGTCTGTCATTTCAAAGACTTCCTGTTCTATTGGATTTAGCACTTAGTTATTATTTTCCTTTGGTGGTGATGTACTTTCTTGATTTTTCATATTTCTGGTGTCCTTCCTTTGGTGGTTTGTCATTGTGGCTGGGGGTATCACAGTCCACTCATTTCACATTGATGTCTGGCTTGGATCTTGAAGGAACTGCCACTCCTGAGCAGCAAGAACTAGCCTGCACTGGAAGTCCCACCCCACCTGTCCTCTCTTGCATGGCTGGCTTGGGATGAGGAGGCCTTCAGGGTCTTAAGCCTCTCCCAGGGGTGGGGACTGGACTGGGCCAGAAGTCCCACCCCACCTGATTTCTCCAGCATGGTTGGCTTTGGGTGTGGGGTCCCTGAGCCTCTTAGGACTCTTCTGGTGGCAGGGACCAGCCTGGGCCAGAAGTCCTGCCCTGTCTGCCTTCTCTGGCTGGACTGGCTTGGGGTGTGGGGGCTCTGAGTCTCTTCAAGTCATTCCCAGAGGTGGGGACTAGCCTGGGCCAGAAGTCCCACCCTGCCTGCCTTCTCCAGCTGGGAGGGTTGGTGTGTCGGGGCTCCAAGTGTCTTAAGTCTCTCCTGGAGTCAGCGACCAGCCTGGGCCAGAAGTCCCACCCTGCCTGTTTTCTCTGGCTCGGCTGGCTTGAGGTGTGGGAGCCCCGAGGCTGTTAAGTCTCTCCTTGTCCGGAGCCATCGAGCCCGGCTGTTGACTGCCCAGGGTCATGAAGCCCTTCTAATAGCCTTCTCACACTAAAGATATAAATGCTGTGACCTTTCCGCCATTTTCTCCTTCTTACTGCTTGCACAGCCCTAGGCATAGATCACCTGCTGCTTTGCTTTAGATAGCTGAGAAATGTTCCATTTCCCGGAACGAATTGCCCTGTGGTTTTTCCCAGAAAACATCTGCATACTTAATTATCTGCTGATTCCCTCCTGCTGTCTATATAAACTGTGACCTTCTGGCTAATAAACGAGACTTTATCAGAATACTGTCTTGTCTCCATTTCTCGTGTCTCTTGTCCCATCCAATTCCCACTCCCCCCTCCAGGGTCCATGTTGAATATCCCACGGGTCAGGACATCTCCTAGCAGTGGGACCAGCCTGGGCTAGAAGTCCCGCCCCACCTGCCTTCTCTGGCTTGGCTGGCCTGGGGTGTGAGGGCTTGGAGCCTCTTAAGTCACTCCCAGAGGCAGGGACTGGACTGGGCCAGAAGCCCCACCCTGCCTGCCTTCTCCAGCTTAGCTGCCTTGGGGTGTGGTGGCTCTGAGCCTATTAAATCACTCCCAGGGGTGAGGACCTGCCTAGGCTGGATGTCCTGCCCCACCTGCCTTCTACAGCTCCACCAGCTTGGGGTGTGGGAGCCCTGAGGCTGTTAAGTCTGTCCCAGTGGCAGGACTGGCTTGGGCCGGAAGTCCCACCCCTCCTGTTTTCTCCAGCCCAGCAGGCTTGGGGCATGTGGGCCCAGAAGCTCTAAAGTCTCTCTACACAATGGGAAGCAACCTGAACTGGGGTCCCATGGCACATGGCTCCTGTCCACTCCAGTACAGATCTTGGGTCTTCCGTCATTGCTCCTCAATAGCTGCAAACTGGTCGCTCTGTGGGAGAGAGCAACACCAGGAACCGACTACTCTGCCATCTTGACCAGAACTCTCAACAAGGGTTCATCTTAAGATGCCAGTGACACCAGGCTGCTATAGGTCTCCAGCATCACATCCCTGTACAAAGTCCTCTAACCATCACTGAGGTCCTGTCACTCCTCCCAGGTGAAGTCCACAGCAACATCCTCAAAAGACACCAACCCCCAAGATTTATTCATATTTTGTTACTATTGAAATGCATACAAAACTCTGGCAGCAGACAGTTTTGGAGGCTGGGAAGTCCATGGTCCAGGGTGCACATCTGGTGAGGACCTTCTTCTAGGTGGGAACTCTCTACAGGGTTCTGGGCCTGTGTGGTTGCTGTCACGCTCTGGCACCCATGGCGGAAGGGCGGCACAAAGGGCGGTCACAGCCCCCAAACAACATTTCACGCCCCACCCTATGGCCTCTCAGCTGCGGGTGGTCCTTGTGTCTCAATATTCCACTATTTTTTAAGCCTCAATTTGGACACTGATTCACACAGGAGGCCATCCCTGGAGCTTCTAGCCTAGGTTGTATGCTCTCCTATATTCTCTTATAGCACTCTGCGCCAATTTCTATCTAAAAAATGCACAAAATCAGTTTATGAACTACTTGGGTGAGTCAGATGTCTTATTTTTGTAACCCTGGCACCTAGGACAATGCCTGGAACTTAATTGATGCTCTTTAATATTTTTGTTGATTAAATGAAAGAATGGGCGGATCATACACTGGATGTCAGGTTATGGCTGGCTGCTATAATGGGATCTGTGGTAGGTGGAATAATGGCTACCCAAAGATGTCGACATCATAATTCCCACAACATGTGACTATGTTACCTTATAATGCAAAGGGAACTCTGCTGATGGGATTAAGTTAATGACCTTGAGATGGGGGAGATTATTCTGGATTCTTTGTATGGATGCACTCTAATTGAAGGCGCTCTATCCTTGAAAGAAGAGGGCCTTTCCCTAGCTGAGTCATACAGACATAATGATTACAAAAGAAAATGGAGAAATTCTAAGTGTAAGAGAGACTCAACCTACCATTATTGGCTTTGAAGTTGGAGGAAGGGGACTACAAACTAAGGAATGCAGATGGCCTCTAGAAGCTGGAAACAACCCTCAGTTGACAGCCAGCAAGGAAATAGGAATCTCAGACCCTGCAACCTACAGTTGCAAGGAACTGAATTCTGTCAACAACCTAATGAGAAGAACACAAATTCTCTCCTAGAGCTTCCAGACAGGAATGCAGTTGGCCAATACCCTGACTTTAGTCTGATGAGACCTATATCAGATGTGTAACCTACAGAAGTATAAGATAATAAATATGTTGTTTTAATCTCCTAATGTGTGATAAGTTTGTCATGGTAGCAATAGAAAACTAATACAGAATCCATGCATGAAAATCTGGCATACTTCCCAAGAGAGGCAAAGAACCTAGAAGGAAAGGAACTTGATCATATCATATTTGCCTCTTAAAAATGATCAATCTAAAGTAGTATGAGAAAGTCCTTATGTAATGACAAGAGAAAAACTGGCGTAGGTGTTTAAGGAGACTGCATATGAAGCTGATGAAAAAAACTCTTCTGAGAGAGACAAACAGACAACAAGCCAGGCTAAGTAAATATTATGAGGCAGGAAAATATGGTGACAGAATAGACATGAGAACTCCCTTTAATGCTGAGCACTTCTGCAAACAGATAACCTATACAGAGAATACGGTGCTAATTATAAATTGTAATTCCATCTGTCAATTAAAATGTCACTATTTCTTAACAAGGAAATAAAAAGCATCCACTTGGCTATCCATGAAATGACCAAAGGGCATTAAGGCCCTTGGGATAAACTGGCATTTTGTGCCTCCTGATGTGATGTAATAGGAAGGACAGAGCATCACCCTTCTAGTCTTCTTGCTAAAAATGCTTAAATTAATCATGGGAAAACAATCAGACAAGTTCATATTGTGGGACATATATAGGACAACTACCTGGATTCATCAGAAGTGCCAGTTTCATCAAAAATTAAAAGAAAAAGATGGGTGAGTTCTATTCTAGATTTAAAAAGACTGAAGGGGCATGACAACTCAATACAATGCATGAACCTTGACAGAATGCTGAATCAAAACAAATAAAAAGCTACAAAGAATACTGTTAGGAAAATTGGGAAAATTATATATAGACAGTGTATTAGATAACTGTATTGTATCAATATTAAATTTCTCTTGGTGTGATAATAATAATTCCATTGTACTTAAGAGATACATGATGAAGTGTTTAAGGGCTGAAGTGTCATGATATCTGCAAGATATTTCCAAATGGTTCAGCAAAAAAGTGTATACACACACACACACACACACACACACACATTAAGAAAGAGAGATAAACCATAAGTAGCAAAATGTAAAAAATTAATGAATCTATATGGAAGATATATTTTGACTTTTCTGTAGGGTTGAAGTTTTCTAAAAAAAAAGGTGGTGAAGAAAAATAATGTTTGGATATATAAAGCTTATCCTTACTGCTAATTATAAGTCCTACTGGTAAATTCAGAAACAAACCAATGCATTCAATATTTTGGCAGAACGTTTTCTAAAAAATAAAAGAAAAAAAAAGTAAGTGCTATGGTTTGAATGTCCTCTCTAAAACTCATGTTGTAACTTAATCCCCAATGTGACAGTATTGAGAAATGGCACCTTTAAGAGGTGATTGGATCATGAGAGCTACACTCTCATAAATGGATTAACCCATTCATGAGTTAATGGATTAATGGGCTACCATGGGAGTGAAACTCGTGACTTTATAAGAAGAGAAAGAAAGATCATAGCCAGCACATTAGCATATTTTTGCCCTCCCACCATGTGATGCCTTGCGTTATCTCAGTACTCTGCAGAGTCTCCACCAGTAGGACAACTCTTACCAGATGTGTCCTCTTGATCTTGGACTTGCCAGCTTCCAAAACTACAAGAAATCAATTTCTTTTCTTTAAAAATTACCCAGTTTCAGGTATTCTGCAATAAGTGAGAGAAAACAAATTAAGACAGTAGTAAAAGAATGGAAAAAGAAATATCACCCAAACAAAGGAAAGCTGGTGTAGCTATATTAATAGCAAACAAAATACATTCTAAATGCAAAAAGATAAAAATGGTCATTAAAAATGATAAAAGGTGTACCTATTCTAGACTTACATGCATATAATAGCAAAGCCTCGACTGTATAAAACAAAAATTGACAAAACAAGAATTTGACAAACCCACAATCACAGTGGGAAATTTTATATCTACTTCTCTCAATAACTGATAGATCTAGCAAGCAAACAAAAAATTAGCAGGAATATAGAAGATTTAAATAACACAATTAACAATTTTAATGGACATTTATAAAACAATACATGCCATAATTAGAATATACACAATCTTTTCAGGCACACATGAAGTACTTATTGACCATATTCTCTAGGACATAAAGCAAGTTTCAACAAATACTAAATAATTGGTATTATATAAACAATGTTGTGTGTACTCAGTGTGCTTAAATGGAATACAATAACAACATGTTAAGCTAAAAAAAAATTCATTTACCCATGCCTCAGTTTTTAAATACCATCCATCTCCCATTAAAGGTACCAGAACTCCATAGAGCAATGGTCAATGGGGCAGAAAATACAAGATGACCCTGAAAGTAGGGAAATAAAGAAATATTAAAGTAAGTCAAAATATGTATGTCGAAGAAAATTGTCAGTGTTATGAATGACAAAGAAATGTTGAGAAAGAGTTCCTGATTAAAGACTGAAAAGACTTGACAATGAAATGCAGCACATCATCCTGGATTGGAACTTTGATAACCAAGAAAAGAAGACAGATTTAAAAGACATTATTGGGACAATTGGTGAAAGTGGAATATGGTGTAGATAGTAATAGTGGAACAATATCAAATTTCTTGATTTTGACACATATACTGAGGTAACATAAGAGAAAGTTATCATTGTGAGGAAATACACCCTGAAGAGGTAAAGGAGCATGATTTCTGCAAATGACTGTCAAATGGGGGAGGACACAGGAGAGAAAAAGAGAATGATAAAGCAAATGTGGCAAAATGTTAATTGGTGAATCTGGGTAAAGGGTATTATGAGAATTCTTTGTAATATTCTCACAGTTTTCCAAGTTTGAAATTAAATCAAAATAAAATTTGAGGTCCAAGATGGCGACAGGTCTGGAGCGGCCGTGCCAGGAGACAGCACGATCCTGAGAGCTGTGCGCTGTGATACCAGAGTATTAATTGCATTTGCAAGAGCAACAAAAGGCGAATAATTCTTTCAACAGCGATCCTGCATCGACAAACAAGCGGCAGCAGGTTCGAGGTTTTGGGGCCGAGACAGAGGAGGACTCCTGAGAGCACCCAAGCCCGGCTGCGGGAACGGGCGAGCGGCCCAGTCAACAAAGGCCAGGAAAGCCAGTGGAACCGGCGCAGAAACGGAGTGAGGTGCGCCAGACCGGCCCAACGCTGTGAGCTCTGTGAGTCACCTCCAGCCCAGCCCCACTTGCGGGGCGAAGCCCGGCTGCTCCCCGCCCGCCTGGCTCCCACCTACCACACAAGGCTAGGCGCCCACAGCAGAGCTGCCTCCATTTTCTTGGGTGGGGGTGGAGACGGACGGCATAGACAGGGCAGGCCAGCCATTCCGGTTGGCTCGGCTCCGCACAGAGACATGCCATTTGCTTACCTCCGTGCGGGGCACCCTGGGGCCTGTGGACTGGCCTACAATCCCACTCTCCCTGCGGATCTCAGA